CAATGAACACACTGGAGGAGGCTCTGGAGGAGTCAGAAGCCTGACCAAAAGATAGCCACAAAAAGAAAGGTGGATCTGGGCTGGTGTGGTTCAGTTGGGTGGGCATTGACCTATGCACCAAAAGGTTGCCAGTTTGATTCCTGGTCAGGGCCTTGATCCGGGGTGGGGAGTGTGCAGGAGGCAGCCAATAGATATTTCTTTCTCACATCAATGTTTCTTTCTCTCTCTCTAAAAAAAAAAAAGTGGGGTAGTGAATGGAAGCAGAGAAATAGGAAGTGCCCCATCAACCACTTAGCACACTTAGCAGCGTGATCTGGGCAATGTGTATAGCCTCACTGGGTCTCAGTGGCCTCATTTACAAAGTGAGAAGGATAACCTCTTCCCTGCCCACTGCGGGGGCTGAAGCAATTGCCTGGTAGAGGCCCTTTCCAGCTGAGATATGTGGGATTATATAAATCCAGAAAAGAGAAATGAGCTTTCTGACCACTTCTCTATCATCTGTTAAATAAGTGAAAAGTTGAAAAGGCCAAAGTACAAGTGTGTCATCTTGAATAGAAGCTGAGGATTGTGTGTAGAAAGCTCTGCAGGGAGAAGGACCACAGCCAGCATGGTCACCAAGGGCCTGTGGGAGCTGGCTTTCAGTTAGGGGGCATGGCAGGCTGGCCAGCTTGCTGGTGTTGAACTCTGATTAAGGTTGCTCTTCCTTGATTTCACCAGCTCACTACATAATTAGATTTGAAGACAACAGTGACATAAAGGTAATGAAATAACATCCAGACAAAGTAGCATGTATGTTCTCCGGAAGAAATGCTAGCCCAGGGCTGTCTGTGTGTCCACATTTTAAGCTTAGCAAACTAGGATACAAATGACAATAGCATACCTCACACTGCTACTTAATTTGATTTCAGCCAAACACCAGAAGGACAGGGGAGAAATGAGTGAGCTTAAAGGCCCCACACTCCACCTCACCCCTTGTAACTTTATTCCTTCCACCAATGGTTCTGAATTAACTAGGTATGATTCCTGAGGGCCATCCTTTTGCAATTCATAAATGTTAGAAGTCATTCCTGGGAGCAGCTTTTCTGGTACAGTAAGAATGTCCTGGGCAATCACCATCCCAGGAAGTCACATACAATGGTCGCCTGGGGTTAGGCTGGATACTCGATGGGAATGGTGAAAAGGTTAAGGGCTATGAGGGTTAAGGTCCTTTCCGCTCCTTCCTTTAGCCAGTCATAGCAGCACCAACACAAAGGAGCCCTTTTGCACAGAACCAGGCCATTTAAGCATTTCTAATACTTGGATTTTAGAGCTAAATGGACCTATCACTTCTAATGACTTTACTGATGGAAAAAACTGAAGCACAAGCCATCTATTTCTAACACCTGTCCATGTTCACTCGATGACCCTACACTAACTGTGGTGAACCATTTATTTTTGGCACCCATCCCAGGGCTCACCCTCTTCCACTGTAATTCTAGGAGTCTCACCTTATAGAATGTCTGTGTTTTTTCAGGTAATTTCCTTGCATTTCTTAAAATCTTCTGTACATCTGTCTATCAAGGATAAAACAAATTCAACATTAGATTTCTGTGGTAAAGGGGAAAGAATACAAAAGGTTGGCTCTAAATGTTTAAAGAAAATACAAATAGAGCTGCAGTGTCAAAATGAGGATCCCTTCTGAATTAATGTCACTGTTCTGTTCAATATTACTACAGCACCTCCCTCCTTCAAAGTGCTTGATAATAAATCCCTTGGTGACAGAAATTAACTTGTCTCACAAAAACATACCAAGTAATTATATATATGGCCAGCTGCTTTTTTGACAAGGTTGCCAAGACCATTCAATGGGGTAAGAATAGTTTCTTCTACAAATGCTGCTAGAGCAACTAGATAGACACATAGGAAAGAATGAAGTTAGACCCTTACTTCACACCAAAAAGGTAAATAAAAATGTATTAGAGACCTAAATGCAAGAGCTAAAACTCTTACACTTCAGACTCTTAAAAGAAAACAGGGCAAATCTTCATGACCTTGGGTTTGGCTATGATTTCTTAGTTACAACAGTACAGCACCTTAAGAAAAAAATTAATTTGTTGAATTTTCATAGCAGCATTATTCTGAATAGCAAAAAGGTAGAAACGATACAAATGCCATCAACTGAATGAATGGATCAACAAAATGTGGCATGGTTATACAATGGAATACTATTCAGCCACCAAAAGGAGAAGTACTGATGTATGCTACAACATGAATGAACACTGACACTGTGCTTAGTAGAAGGAAACCAAACCAAAAAGGCCACATGTTATATGACTCCATTTATATGAAATATCCAGAATAGGCAAATCCAAAGAGACAGAAAGCAGATTAGTGGTTGCCAAGGGCTGGGGGAAGATGGGAAAATAGAGTGACTTGCTTAATGGGTACAGGGTTTCCTTTTGGGGTGATAAAATATTCTGGAACTAGATAGTAGTAGTGGTTGAATAACATTGTGATTATACAAAATGCCACTGAATGGCATATTTAAAAATTGTTGAAATGGTAAATGTTATGTGTATTTCATCACAATAAAATACACCTAGCCTAAAATAAAAATTTTTAAATAATTTTAGAAAAATTAGGGGGGAAAAATCGGCTATCCCTCCAATAGGGAAGTGCTCAGGTCAGGGGTGATAGGAAAGAGGGAGAACCTGTTTTCTCCACAAAGTGAAGAGACCTCTCTTCCCTTAGCCATGGCAGGATGTGTCCAGTCTCTGTGAAAAGGGTGACTATGCCATCAACAGAAGCCACTTCTGTTGTCACGTGGCCTGATTACCTCTTCTCTTCTGGCTTAAGCTGGATTCATTGGAGGAACAAAGGAAGAAAAGGCACTTAAATGAGAACAAAGGCTCAAAAGTGATTTTAAAAAATAGGTACAAAGGACTTTTTGGAAGAAGAAATGTCACTCAGTACCTTGCCTGAAAGTAGCATACCTTGGTAATAATCTACTCGCAGTTTCTCATGAAAGTGTTTTTGTGGAATTAGAGTGTGATGCTATGGTTTGGGCTCTACTGTGGAAATGGAAGAAATAACCATATGAAGATTTTTACATCATTCTCGAAATTGTTGTTAAAGATAACACCCATTATATTATTCAATGTCTCAGCATGTCCAAAATTTCACATTAAAACTCAATGCCAAGGAAATGTGTCTCTCTAGAAAAACTGACGTACTTCCTTTAATCAGACATATAGCCCTCTATAACATAAAACCCTACCTGTTTCTTTTTTGACCTTGGTAGCTCAGAGCCAAATTGTTCAATACAATGATTTTGCCTTGGATTCCCGGAACAATTGTCTCCCCTCTTCCTCTAGGTTTTGTATTGCTCTAAATTTTGTAAAAAATGATTTTGCTGTATACATTTTTTACCGTAGGCCACCTCAAATCCTTTTTGGAAATAATGACACACATTAGAAGTAAATGAATTAGTAAGTATCAAAGGGAAGGAAAATCAGATCAAATGTCTGCCTGCCTGCCTGCCAGAATCCCTCCTCCTGTCCCTAGTGGAAAGCAACGTGAACGGTAATATTACCTGCAGGCCACTGGGTTTGATCCAGACAGTCACATTCTGGGCATAACTGCGTTTGTTTTTGGGCTGCAGGGGGAATGGGCTCTTATTGTCGTCCTCACCGTAAGGGTTTTCTTTCGCATCTTAAAAGAAAAAGACATTCTTGAAATGACATCTGGCAGAACACAATCAATTACATTTCCAATTAGGCTAGAAGCACTTTGAAATCATTCAATCTTCTATATCCCCTTACTTCCCTAATTAAGAAAATCTATTAACTTCAGTCAGGTTAGGGATCTTGTTCTCAATAAAACGCCACTGATGTAAGAGACCAAGCAATCAACTAAGGCCCCTGTAAGTGAAAAACAGCTTGATGTTTTTTAGAAACAAGCTTTACTTATTATTTGCTTTATGAATTAAAGTCAGAGAAGATAAAACAAATACATACAATAATACTAATGTACTATTTTAAAAAATAAACAAACTAAAACTCTGTATAGCTTAGTCTAGCATTCTCCAACAGAACTTTCTGCGATGACAGAATGAGAGCCACTAGCCCATGTGGCCACAGACACTGTGTGTAGCTAGTGTGACTGAGGTACTGAATTTTAAATTTTGTTTAATTAAATAGCCTCATGTGGCTAATGGCTACTGGATTAGAGAGCATAGGTATAGACACTGGAAAAATTAAAAAGGAAAATTATATATAGCCAAATTAAGAAAAGGGGCAAGGGAAGAAGTACTTTTTGGTGAAACATACCCCACCTTATTATGGTTTATTAGTTTATTGCTTCTAAAGGATGAAAGCCATATTGGTTTTAGAGCTATGTGAATAAACAAGGGTTATCGTTTTTCTACCTGCTTCCTGAGCCAATGACACTGCCACAAACTTACAGGGCACACTTACATCTACTGGCTTGTCATTATTGTTACCACCTTCTGGGGTAGACAGAACAGGAATCATTTTCCCAACCAGGCAGGGAGCTTAAAACCTTTGCCCATTATTATGTGTCTACTGTGGCAGAAACTTTATACTTATTCCCCTCAATAAATTCTCTCAACAAACCTCTAAGGCAGGTTTTATTATCAATTACTTGTTACCATAATGACAATTCCAACCTCATAAGACTATTATGAGAATAAAATGAGATTATACATTTCATTGTGCCTAGCACAGTGCCGGGGACAAAGTTAAGTTCAATAAAAATGTTAGCTCTTACTATATACTCAAATTATAATAACCTAACAGTATGTACGTATGATGTATGTATATGTATATAGAGAGAGAAAGAGAAAAAAGGAGAGAGGAAGGGAGGGAGAGAATTTCTGAAGGTAAGATACTTCAAAAGCTGCTCTAAGATGATAATCATATTTCTCAAGTCTATTGGAGAGAACCTGACATACCTATTATAGAATTGTCACATGATATACTAAAGGTTACTATGGGTGTTGCCCAAAGTCAAAATAGACATTTCATTGAAATATTTTTAACTCCAGACAAATACTAATGTGTATGCTGAAGAAATTAGTTTTTCTTATCCAAATGAACTGATATAATGTATTTAAAACACTGGAAGTAGAACTTTTTAACAGAGTGCACTGAAGAAAAAAAGACTCAGAAATGTTTTTTAAAAAGTACTTGCTAAAGCAAATGAGAAATCTAATTTTTAAATTAGGCATTTAAGATAAAATGACTTTAGAGAGAGAAGTACTAATTCCTAAGATACCATATCTTTCCATTGCTTTGCAAAATTCATCTTCTGCCCTGGCCAGTGTTGCTCAGTGGTTGGAACGATGGCCCAAGCACTTAAGGGTCATGGGTTCAATTCCTGGTCAAGGGCTTGTACCTGGGTTGCAGGTTTGATCCCCACCCCGGTCAGAGTGCATGTGGGTGGTGGGTGCGGTGGCAAACAGTTGATGTGTCTCTCTCACATCGATGTTTCTCTCTCCCTTCCTCCCTTCCACTCTGAAAAGCAATGGAAAAAATATCCTCAGGTGAGTATTAATCAAAAAAATAAAATAAAATCTATCTTTTTTTTTGAAATTTTAAAAATATATTTTATTGATTTTTTACAGAAAGGAAGGGAGAAGGATAGAGAGTTAGAAACATCCATGAGAGAGAAACATTGATCAGCTGCCTCCTGCACACCCCCTGCTGGGGATGTGCCCGCAACCAAGGTACATGCCCTTGACTGGAATCGAACCTGTGGGACTCTTCAGTCCACAGGCTGACGCCCTAGCCACTGAGCAAAACTGGTCAGGGCAAATCTATCTTCTTTGCAGATAAGCTGTAAAGAATATCTACATAAAAACAGACACATGAGCCCAGCTGGTGTGGCTCAGTGGTTGAGCATTGGCCTATGAACTGGAGGTCATAGTTTAATTCTCGGTCAGGGAACATACCAGGATTGTAGGCTCGATCCCCAGTAGGGGGCGTACAGGAGGCAACCAATCAAATATTCTCTCATATCATTGATTTTTTTCTCTCTCTCCCTCTCCCTTCCTCTCTGAAATGTGTGTGTGTGTGTGTGTGTATACATATTAAACAGACATATGAAAAGAAAAATAATTTAAGTAGTTTTACCAAGAATTCTGATTTTTTTCAAGAAGGAACTAGATAGTAGTATCCTTAATAAGATAGCAGAGTCACACTCTTTAAAAATAAGTAATTGCAAAATAACACATATTTTTCAACCCACGTCATTATGCTCAATTAATATTGACAAAGGAGGTAAGAGCATACAATGGAGTCAAGATAGTCTCTTCAATAAATGGTGCTGAGAAATTTGGTCAGATACATTCAAAAAAATGAAACTAAATCACCAACTTACACCATAAACAAAAACAAACTCAAAATGGCTAAAGGTCTTAAATGTAAGATGGGAAACCATAAAAATCCTACAAGACTCCATAGGCAGCAAAATTGCAGACATATGTTGTAGCAATATCTTTACAGACACAGATCCTAGGGCAAGAGAGAG